TTTAACATTTCCTTGATTTCTCATTTGGTTTCAGTCCTTGGTAAGTTCACTAGACCTGAAGATTGATGAAACAGAGAAAAAATTCGAGGAGACAAGCAAACTAAGTGAGGAGAGGCTGAAGCAGGCTCTAGAGGCTGAAACTATTATTGTCAATTTGAAAACTACTGTGCACGAGTACCCACTATACATCTTTCAGTCTCTTAATGAATTCACCAAAGATCCCTTTGGCACTCAACATTAAGCATATTTTTCACGTGTTCATTTGCAGACTTCAAGAAAAAATCTTGGATGTGGAATCCGAGAACAAAATATTGAGGCAGAAATCCCTCATCCAGACATCAGGAAATCTTCCTCCGACTACTCCGGTTAAGGTATATCTGAGAAGAAACATACTTGGATGGTTACACAATCATTGATAATTAAAAGTATTACTCTCCTCTTTGCAGGCCTCGCAAAATGGTCACTTTACTAGCAAAGAAAGTATGTTCAATGTAAGTAGTGTCTTGCCTTTTATCTCGCTTGCCCTAAATTACGTTCAATCTGTTTGCATGTCCTTAAAAGACATCTCTGCAGAGATCTGATATTGGAACACTGGCAAGAACCCAAGAACAAGAATCTGATGCAAAAAGTCGTAAATATCATTTGGAACGTCAACGTGTATGTTATTAGTTGAATTAATCTATTCTGTATTTTTCTGACCTGTCAGATGTGCCTTTTTAAACTGAAGAGTGATATTTTTCTTGCCATAGGAGAATGTTGATGCTCTTATCAACTGCGTAGTAAATAATATTGGATTCAACCAGGGGAAACCTGTTGCGGCATTTACAATATACAAATGTCTTCTTCATTGGAAATCCTTTGAAGCTGAAAGGACTAGTGTGTTTGATCGCCTTGTTCAAATGATTGGTTCTGCTATTGAGGTAGGTACTGAATTTCATGTCAAGTCTTTATACTTAAGACATTATTACCCAAGGATGGGATATTTTGCTTTTCTTATATATAATAATCACAATTGAGATTTTACGATCATTACATTCAGGATGAAGATGACAACGATCATTTGGCTTATTGGTTGTCCAATACTTCAACCTTGTTGTTCATGATCCAACAAAGTCTGAAACCCGGTGCGACTGGTGCCACTCCACAGCAAAAACCACCTGTTTCTACCTCTTTGTTTGGAAGAATGGCCATGGTATATATGCCTTTGTTTTTCTATTTTAATGAACTTGTGCTCTAAAATTAATGAAGTTTTCTGAAACATTATCTTCAAAAATACCAGGGTTTCCGTTCAGCACCTTCTTCTGCCGAGACTTCTGCAGCAGCAGCAGCTGCAGCGGCTGCAGTGATTCGCCCTGTTGTGGCCAAGGATCCAGCTTTGCTTTTCAAACAGCAGCTTACAGCTTACGTAGAAAAGATATTTGGAATGATTCGGGATAACCTGAAAAATGAGTTGCAAACTTTGCTTTCCCTTTGCATCCAGGTCGGCTAAGAAAAAATTTCAATGTTCCCTTAATACCATGATTACTATTGGACTTCTTTTCCTTCTAGATATGTGGTTGTCTGATATGAATGGAACTCTCTAGGCACCGCGGACATCAACAGGACGTTCATTACGATCTGCAAAGTCAATGGGCAAGGATTCTCCTTTAGAACACTGGAAGGGGATTAATGAAGGCTTAAACGCCATTCTAATCACACTGAAGGAGAATTTTGTATGGGAAATCAATAAAACTCGTCTTCTCCAGTCATGTTTTCTTTCTCTTTATTGTCTGGAAATTCTTATAGTTCTTTCCACTTTCAGGTTCCTCCTGTTCTTATCCAAAATATATTTACTCAGACATTCTCATTCATCAATGTCCAATTATTTAACAGGTAATAGATTGTTTATTTTCTATCATTAACTAGGCATGTCCATATAAGGCATTATTATAACGTATTCATTCTTCTCTGTAGCCTTCTTTTGCGACGAGAATGTTGTACATTTAGCAACGGAGAATTTGTAAAATCTGGTTTAGCATTGCTTGAGGAATGGTGCAGTGAAACAAAAGAAGAAGTATTCCCTAGTGATATCCTTTCTACTTATGTGAATTTATTGATTTATGTGTAGCACAATTTGGCTCATTATACCTGTCCTCTTTAATTGCAGTTTACTGGCTCATCCTGGGATGAACTTAAACATATCAGGCAAGCAGTCGGCTTCTTGGTATGTTCTTTTACACTTGTCTGATTATAAGAAAAGTCATCTATTCTATATTCCACATTTCCAATATTTGCTAGTAAGAGGTTTGTGCACTTTTCATGATTGTCCTTTGAATTGGCATTTACCAACAGGTTATCCATCAGAAGTATAGAATCTCATACGATGACATTGCACATGATTTATGCCCTGTGAGTCCTTCCGTTGGCTTGACCCTTCTACTCATAATAGACGGATACTATGCATTAAATCTAAATTTGAACGTGGTGCTCAATTTTGCAGATCCTTAGTGTCCAGCAACTTTACAGAATATGTACACTATACTGGGATGACAGCTACAATACAAGAAGTGTATCCCAAGATGTAAGTTTCTCTTCAGAAATAGCTCTCTCTCTCTCTCTTTCTCCTGCTCTATCTGTTCTTGTGCTTTTGCTAATTTCATGTTCATGAACAGGTGATTTCAAACATGAAAGTGCTTATGACAGAGGAATCAAACAACGCTGACAGCAACGCCTTCTTGTTAGACGAAGATTCTAGGTAACAAAATAACCATAAGTTCAAAATCTTTATATCTGCCATTTGGGAGCTTTGTTTAATTTTTTAGGATAAAAACCGAAATTCCTTTTTTTTTTTTTTTTTTTCCTGCTCAGCATTCCGTTCTCGGCTGATGATCTATCGAGTTCAATGGAAGAGAAGGATTTTGCGGAAATGAAACCAGCTGAAGAACTTGAAGAAAACCCAGCATTCAGTTTCTTACTATAACGGTGAAGATACCAAGAGAAGCAGCAGGTGTACCGTCCCTTCAAGAACACACCAGTAGAAGCATGACGAAGAAGAACAAGAACATGTGCTGGAGATTCCCAAATACTTTTTTTCATTCATCACCGTTATGGTGAGACATAGATAGATTGATTGATTCTCTCCATTTCGTTTCTTTGTTATTCATTGTGTCTCAGATCATCCCAGAAGTTCCTTAAGGTCTCTCTATGCTTTGGCTGGGAGAGAAAGAGAAGAGACATGGAAACCCTGATGTTTTGTTCTTCTTGTGCAGTTTTCTTCTCTCCTTTCTTCTTTTTGGGTCAAGTTTAGTTTTAAGTTTTGGTGGTTTTGTATCTATCTGGTGAAAAATGCACCATTATAGCAAAAGATATTTTTTTTTTGGTGGGAATTATAGCAAAAGATATAACAACTCGTGTTTTGATTTGTACAAAAGGAAACAACTCAAGTGGGTAAATTAAAAGATATATAGTAGTTTGCTATATATTGGATTTATTATGTTATGTATCATTGCTTTTCTTTAGTTTTGTGATATACAATTCGCAAATCATTACCAGATTTATTATTTATAAATCTTCATATACATGCATGGACCCTGAAACGCACGCATAATTACGTTGACGTAGTAATATCCACATCTTCAATAACAGGAATTTTTCTATATTACTATGTCAACATAATTTTATTTTAAGTTCGAAAACAATAAGTCACCTAATTAATCATTACCAGAACAACCACCATTGTCATTCTTTCGAAAAATGAAGCTAATGCGCCACGAAACAAAACCCAACAAGACGATGATGAATGCGATGATACTCCATACGATAATGTTTGTAGTTTCCGAACTCATTTTTCCCTTTCACAACGTACGTACCACAACAGTTGTCTTCTCCTTTTGCTTTTCTTTCTTCAGTGTCAAATGTGTTTTGTGTTTCCTCTTCTTTTCTCGCACAATAACGTTTATATGAAGCTATACAAAATTAATACTATCAAATACTCCCTCTGTTCTAATTATATACATGATTATTTAGGTTTATAATTTTTTTAAAAAAATATATGATTTTTTCTCACAAATCTATGCACTTTAATTATAACTTTACTGCTTTTCAAAATTTATATTATGCAGATTGTTTTTTTATAGGTTAAATTATGTCAAAGTAGTTATTTAATGATGTTTTAAAGTTTAAATATAAACTAAAATTAAATGGTTCATTAATCTATAAAGAGTAATTAAGAAAGCTCTTACATGCGTCCTTCTTTGTCCCTTTGTACAACGATACCATTTTGAGCTAACAAGATGAATACATAATGCGAATGAAAAGGAGAGCATAAAAGAGAGTACAACTTGTGATAATCAAAAGAGAGAGAAGATGAGAGATTTGGTTCAACATAATAAGCGTTCCCTTCAAGGTGATCACGGTGGTGAGCTTGACACTTGAATAAAGCGCAACCACGTACACTAATACGATTCTTCCCAGTCGGTTGTGAACTGTTGGAGTAGTAATAGGTTGAGAACCAAGAGAGGCTAGCTTATTAACATATAATGTTTATATTGTATACTTAGAATAGGATAAGGTTTCCTTTAGCTTATTCCTACTCTTAATATACATGTACATATAAATATTCTTGTACAGTCTTATGATTCATTAATGAGAATTCTATTCTTTCATATCAAAGTGTTAATATGGTATCAGAGCACTAAACTCTCTCTACACTTTGTAACAAACTTTTCTCATTCTCACTCACTCATCTCAAACCGAGTCAACTCAGTCATCCATGGCGTCGTGAGCTTCGTTCAGCTACGATTTGTCCTCTGAGCTTCGTTTACTTCTCTTCATCGATCGATTTAATCAATGAGTGCTTCAAATCGTCATCAGTTTTCAATCTTTTTCAAAAATTTCACCAATCTTCTTCATTCGTTTCTCACTTCCGCTACTCTCATTCTTTTCTTTCTTCTCTTGATTCATCTTCATTTCTCTTGATTCGATCTTTTCTTGGCATTTTCTCATCTTGGAATTCAATAATCATGACAACTCAAACATCCACTCGTGATTCAACTCGTGATTCAACTCGTGATTCAACTCGGACTACTACGACGGATCAGTATGATAATCCGTACTTCTTGCATAATTCTGATCACGCAGGTATGTCAATCGTTTCTGATCGTCTTTCAACCGGAGCTGAGTTCTATTCTTGGCGTAGATCTGTTAGAATGGCGCTTAATGTGCGAAATAAGCTTGGTTTTATCGATGGAACGATACCAAAACCTGCAGAAGACCATCGAGATTTTGGATCTTGGTCGCGATGCAACGACATTGTTACTACTTGGATTATAAATTCTGTTGATAAGCAGATTGGACAGAGCTTGTTATACATCTCTACTGCTGAGGGAATTTGGAAAAATCTAATGGCAAGATTCAAGCAAGATGATGCACCAAGGGTGTATGAGATAGAGCAGAAGCTTTGCTCGATTCAACAAGGTTCAATGACCATTGCTTCTTATTACACAGCATTGGTAACATTGTGGGAAGAATACAAAAATTATGTGGAATTGCCGATTTGTACTTGTGGAAGATGTGAATGTACTGCAGCAGCACTTTGGGAAAAATTGCAGCAAAGAAGCAGAGTAACAAAATTTTTGATGGGGCTGAATGAATCTTATGAATCAACTAGGAGACACATTCTGATGTTAAAGCCTATCCCCAATCTTGAAGATGTTTTTAACATGGTTGTCTCTGATGAAAGACAGAAGTCTATCAAGCCAAAGCCAGAGGGAATGGTATTTCATGCTTCTGATAATATGCAGGGTTATCAAGCTCCATCTCCGAATCAAATGATATATCAAGGTCTATCGGATAATAGTGCATATGTTGCAGTCTACAACAATAGTAGCTATCGACCCCGGCCATCATCACGTCCTATGTGCACACACTGTGGACAGGCTGGTCATGTTGTTCAAAAATGCTTTAAGTTGCATGGTTATCCCCCAGGATACATCCCTGGTTTCAAAAGCACATTCTCTGGATATCAAGCACCACAACAACAACGACCACAAACATCTTTTCAAGCTCCTACTTCATCATATCAGTATCGAGGACAGTCTACTACTACTGCTGCACGGCCATCGTCTCATGCTGTTGCAAATGTCATGACTGATGCTGTTTCGACCTCGAATACTCCACCAATAAATTTTGATGTCAGCACATTGAGCAATGATCAGGTTCAGACATTGATACAACAACTGAATGCACAGGTTCATGTTTCAGAGAGTTCAATTCCATCTGCTAAAGCTTCTATCACTGAACATGGTGCTATGTCTATCCAATCCTCAGCTGGTATCAATTCTTTTCCTTCTTTTCCATCGATTTTTCCATCCACATCTCTTCGATTTGAGAATAATAAACTCACATTTCAACATCAATGTCTTTCATCATTATCAAAAGCTATTCCTCATGGTAGTTGGATCATAGATAGTGGGGCTACTAGTCATGTTTGCTCTGACTTGGCATTTTTTAATGAAACTGTCACAGTCACTGGAGTCACAGTTTCTCTTCCAAATGCAGCTAGAGTGGACATCAAACATTGTGGCACTGTTCCATTGTCACATTCACTCATTTTGCATGATGTTTTGCATGTTCCTTCTTTTCAATTCAATCTTATATCTGTTAGTACTCTTTTAAAACATAACAATGGGTCAGCTCATTTTTATCCTGAATTTTGTTATATCCAGGAGTGTATTCAGGGATTGATGATTGGTAAAGGAATTCTTCTACATAATCTGTATATCCTGCAACCTGCATCATCATCCTTACCATCGTCTACTCTCACTCTTGATCATGCTGAAAGTCACTTCTCTGGATCCTTGAAAGTCGATGGACATCTCTGGCATCAACGCCTAGGACACCCATCCTCTGACAAGTTAAAGTTTTTGTCTGGTATTTTACCTTTGTCTTCTTTACAATTAGATCAGCATTGTAGTATTTGTCCTTTAGCTAAACAGAAACGGCTACCCTTTGAGTCTAATAACCACATGTCTTCACTTCCATTTGATCTTCTTCACTTAGATGTATGGGGGCCTTTCTCTATTGAATCTGTAGATGGTTTTAAGTATTTTCTCACCATAGTCGATGATTGTACTCGTGTTACTTGGGTTTATATGATGAAAACTAAATCAGAAGTAATAAAGCATTTTCCAGATTTTCTAAAGCTTGTTGATACTCAATATAAATCAAAGGTTAAGGCTATAAGAACAGATAATGCTCCTGAATTAGCTTTTACTGATCTAGTTAGAGAACATGGAATGATTCATCAGTTTTCTTGTGCTTACACTCCCCAACAGAATTCAGTGGTAGAAAGAAAACATCAACATTTACTAAATGTAGCAAGAGCATTGATTTTTCAGTCAAAAGTTCCATTAGAATACTGGAGTGATTGCTTGTTAACTGCTGTCTTTTTAATCAATCGTACTCCTACACCTCTGTTGAACAATAAGTCACCATATGAACTACTTACACAGAAGGTTCCTGATTACAGTTTTCTGAGAACATTTGGCTGTTTATGTTATGTCTCGACATTATTGAAAGATAGGCATAAGTTTAGTCCTAGGGCTGATCAATGTGTCTTTTTAGGATATTCTTGTGGTTATAAAGGCTATAAAGTGTTGCATCTAGATACTAATAAAGTTTCAATAACCAGGAATGTCATTTTTCATGAGCATGTGTTT